AGGGCTGGAAGAGCCGGTACGCCCCGGGGGAGGAGGCGGCAGGACTGAAGTCCCACAGCTTTTCTCCTCAGGCCCCGCCGCCGGCCCCCGGGGATCCTTGTCTTCCGCGGGGCACAGAAGCACTTGCTCCCAGACATCTAAGCAGGCCCTGCAGCAAAAATACGGCAGAAGAGGCAGCAAACACCCCCTTCCTAGAGGTTAGACCGTGCCTTGCTGCGGAGGAGGCTTGAAACCCTCTTCTCTCAGCCATGGCTCAAAGCGGAGTTCCTGGCAGGTCGCTGGGGCAGCAGCAATTCAACATCTGCTTGGGCACAAAGAGAGGGGAAGGGGGTCGCTAGGTCCATACCCTAGTAAGGGCAGGATCTGTGAAATACAGAAATAGCCACCAACTGGATTTCTGCTTCGATTATTTGAAACTTGGATAAGCTCCCCTTCGCGTTACATAAACAAATGGTGATATGTCAAGTATACTATCTTAAATATTTACACAGTCAGCCCCGCTCCCTCAGCAGTCCTCTCACTTTCCCTCAGATTAAACTGAGTTATGGAACAAAAACTTTCAACCAGCCATGGTCCATTCAAGCATTGTATAAGTGTAGACATTTTTTTTAAGAGTGATTTAGGGTCTTTCCTATGTCTTTCAGTTACATCTGTTTCTGTATGTGAGAAATCCTGGGAAAACAGGCTGGACCATGATTTTACAGTCCTGAACTGCTAAAGCTTGAATGTTGAATGCTCCCTGTTGTGTTTACAGAAAGAACCTAACACCAAAATGCTAAGGAGTATGAAATTAAGGTAAAACATAATTTAAAAAAATTCTAATATTTAGCAGAATTGTGACTTTATTTAGAGTTCTTTTAATGCTGTCTTGAAACTCAAGGTGCAAGCATGATGCAAGTTGAGGTGTCACAAGCTCTAATTGCTTTTACAGGTTTTAGAGTTTGGGCCAGACTCATTCAGGGAATTTCAGAGCTGAGCTTAGTGGACTTCCCAAGATTTAAACTAGATTCCTCAAATGCTGCGTGCTGACTTCCTAACGTAGCTAACAGAAAATGCTGAAAACAGAGCTGTTGCTTCAACTCCAGTTCTTAGAATGTGGTATTTAAGAGTAGAGAGGAATGCCTCCTTGCATTGAAGTCACAACCACAACCTGTCTCTGGGCATCAGGTGTTTAACCCACACTTTCCTTACAGAAGATTGCAGTTGCATCCTTTCCTTCCCTCCCAACAGAGAGCTCAGTAGTTGAAGCTCTCAGTAGGAGGGGTTACAATAATTAGGACTTTGCTTCTATCCTCTGCTTCTATCCTCAAGAGAATTTGAGGAACCTCTATTATAATCTTCCAGATGATTGACCTGATGACTCTGCCAGTACTACTGAGGTACAGGGCATTCTGGAGCAAAGCTCTTATTTGACCTTTCCTGTTGAAATGGGTCTATTTTTTGTGGGCTGACTAATAATAATTGCATGCTTTTCTAGCCTTTTGGTTCAGACACTTCTTTCAGCAGGGACGATGTGTGTTCCTGTCTCTGGTGTAATGAATT